CACGAAGGCTTCTTATTCCAATCCACTTCTCAATCCTTTGGTAAACAGGACCGTTTCCGCTTTCTTTAGAATTTTAGTAATCATTTGCTAGCTCAAACTGATGCTATTCTGATACTACACGTTTTTGAAAGACCTTCTCAAAGCGCTGTAACAGGGAATATAAGATCACTTTTTGCACTCAACGCATTTTCTGCTCGGTTATGGTTTCTGGATGGTCTTTCACAGACTTTATCAGTCACTCGTTAGCACAAATTTTGCTGATTTCAAGCCAAATTTAGTTTTTTGAAAAGACTTTCATAAAGTGCTATAGGAGCGAGATTAAGACTGCTTTAGGCCTTCCAGTTCTTAGGACTAGACTTCACAGCAGGTTTATTTGGTAATATAATAAGGAATTTTCCGGCTGACGCAAACGTTTTTGCCATCACTCTGCACCATTGGGTATATTGTAACATCACAACACCGCAAGTGGCGGTCAGGTAGAATCATTTCTAATTAATAAGGAATTGAAAGGCGAGTTTCAGAAAGCGGCTGAATAAAGTATCCTCTTTACTTTTAATCCGAAAAACCTAGAAATTTGAAAAAAAAACAGAAAAATTTCCTTAATAAACAACGAAAATCGCGTCCTCCTGAGGCGTTTTTGCGATCGCTGCGCATAGCACGATTTGAAGACTATACGTACCAAGTGTGAAATTTGATTCCACCTCCGCTGCTACAACGCAGTAAGGCATTTTTACAAACCAGGTACAGTGTTGAAATTGCCTAGTTTCATGATATCGAATGATTGTCAAAGGCAAGGCAAAAAAGGCCATGCCCCCAAAAAGTTGAATATGGGTTGGGAGAAGAAGGAGTAGTAATCTTTCAAATATCTATCTAATTATTGGGAAATTACTTGTCTTGATGAGATGTTTAGTGGGTATCATATTTCCAAAAGAGTTTCGCAGGCTATTTTGTTTAATTACTATAATGTTGATTTACTGAGCAGACTATCAGGCAACCTCTCGCTCGAATGATTAATATTAGATTGGTGCAAAATTAATCATGATTTCAGACAGTGAATACTTGAACGATTATAACTAGGCTCAAAAAAAATCTTTTAGTCAAAATACTATCCATTGCAATCAACAAATTTCTTCCAGCGAGAAATACGTTTGATTTTTCTTGTGGAGTAAAAACGGGTGCTTCAGGATTCGCCGAGCTCTTCAAAAAACTTCCTACTTCCTATAAAAGCGTTTTCCTTGCAGGAATTGTCGAGATGCTCGAAGAAGTGGTACCCGATAGGCACGGGGTTTGGTAAATATGAAGGATGAGGCAGAGTTTTGTGGCACAATTTATTCAGCATTTTGACGCGTTAGCTGTGCCACCGGGGGTTTTCGGCTGGCTGTAATCAAGCCGCCATTACTTTCACACCCACATTTTCACCTTTCCAATTTGTTTCAAATAGCGAGAGAGCGTATAATCGTCAACGTTTAGTTTTTTGTAATATCTGGTGCAGTCCCAAAAGGGTGATCTTCGATGACTGCTTTCAACTGGTTGTTATCGATCTCATGGCCGGCCACTATGTTCTGCATTTCCAAGGTTTTTAGCAGTTTTTTAGATCAGGTGCTTTGATGATGTTACGGGTTGTCTCTGCTGCTTTTCGACGAATTTGGAACTCAGGTCTGAAACAGCCATTACATTTGCAGCAACCATCATCCTTCTTATACTCTAGTATAATCCAAGATAAATAGCAAGTAAAGCGTCATTAGCATAAAAATATAGAACAATAAATGTGTATTAATGTGATATTTAAGATGATTGCCTTTGTCTCAGGATTTACTCAAATATCAAACGACAAATTCCAACAAAGCACAAACCGCCACTACTTTTGCACCCACCGACTCCTTCTCTGAAGATGCCTTTGATTCTGCAGAAAGCCTTTGAACTAATGGAAACAGAAGTGGTTGTAGATGCTCTTGATAACTAGGACGTTAGGACGTTTTTCCTTGGTACATAGTGATTCTTCGTAAGCTATATAAAGATTTTACGACGAAAATATCGCCATTCCACAACAATATTACCGTTGGCGTAGGAAGAGGCGATCGACAAGGCGATACAATTTCGCCAAAATTGCTCACAGCCATCGTCCAAAACGTCATGCGAACATTAGAAGGAAGCGATGAGAGAGTGAAAATTGATTGTCGACAACTAAACCATCTTCGCTTTGCTGATGATATATCCTCATGACACTAAGCATCAGCCAAGCTGAACAAATGCTGATCGAATTCTACAACACCTGTGGAAAGATTGGCCTTCAACTAAATTCAAGGAATACTATGTTAATGAGGAACGGATGGGTTTCGAATGCCCCTATCACCGTTAGCGAGACGAGCATCTCCAAATGCTTCAGTTACATCTATCTGGGTCGCGAAATCAACGTGATGAACAATCTAGCTCCAGAGTTGAGCAGGAAGAAACGAGCGGCTTAGGGAACGTTTAAGAGCATCGAGGATGTAGTGAAGAGGACAAAGAGCATTCGACTCCGTGTCCACCTTTTCGATTCGACGATTATCCTTTCCCCAACGTATGCAGCATAAACGTGGTCGCTAATAAGCAAAATGAAAAATCGCTTGGCATTACTGAACGCGCAGTCAAAAAGTCGATGTTAGAAGTATCCCGTATCTCGCAAATGGGAGACAGGATCCGAAGTTCCGACCTATGTCAACGATCGAAGACCAAAGACGCCGTTCTACGCGCTAGGATATCGAATATAAGGTAGATCGGAAACGTGGTGCTCTTCAACGGCAACCAATGGACGAGAGCCGGTATCGACTGGATTCTTCGGGACATCGAGCGCTCCACACGAAGACCGCCGACTCGATAGTCCGATGTCTTCACAAAAAGATTAAAAGAAATGTATGATGCTCAGGAAATCTCTAGAGCGAGGAGGACCCACTGGGCTACTTTTGCAGGCGATAGGGAAAAGTGGAAGTGTCGTTGGTGCCCCCTAAAGTCAAATCAACGGGACGACATGCGATACAGGTGACAGGTGTACTAACTCAGTGTGTCATATTGGTAACGGGACTTTGGATGATACAACTAGAAGTGTCTACTAACATGGGAGATTTGATAATTCACTGGGAAAATATCTGTACTGATAAGGAACCCTCGAAAGATAAACTTTGAAAAATAGTGATGTGGAAATAAAATTTGCCCCTTTTCTCTCAAAAAGAAAAATTCATCACTACTTATAAGCCTTATTTTGTTTCCTGCACTGGGTGAATGTAGCTAGTATTTCAAAATGTTCTATTAAGATATTCTGAAGTGGTTATTAGTTCATGATGAGTTCATGGTGCGAAGTTCCAATCAAATGATCTGTGTACTGATATGCGTTCAGCCTCACGCCAAACAACAATACGGCTTTGTTTCACAGTGGAGGACGAAGATCTTGATTTTTCACCAACAAGGTAGGCTAGTTGTTTTCGTAAAGAGCTTCCTCTAGTTAGAGTAATAAGCTACAGAGATATAGAGATAGAGCTGTAGACTTCTACATCATACGAAATTTCTCTCTCAAAATATCAGTGATTGTTTCGACACGTAGTAATTGCGGCCAAGTGGTCTAGTGGTATGATTCTCGCTTTGGGTACCAGAGGTCCCGGTTTCGATCACCGGCTTGGCCCAAATTTTTGATCTCGTTGAATAGCAACCCGTTGAGCTGTGGACTTCTACATCATACCAAATTTTGAGCTCAAAATGTCAGTGTTTCTTTAGTAGAATAGTAATTGCGGCCAAGTGGTCTAGTGGTATGATTTTCGCTTTGGTGCGAGAGGTCCCGGTTTCGATCACCGGCATGCAATTCTTGATCTCTTTGATTAGCAACCCGTTGAGCTGTGGACTTCTACATCATAGCAAATTTTGAGCTCAAAATATCAGTGATTGTTTCCACGCCCAGTAAATGCGGCCAAGTGGTGTAGTGGTGTGATTCTCGCTTTGGGTGCGAGAGGTCCCGGTTTTGATCACCGGCTTGGCACAAGTTCTTGATCTCGTTGATTAGCAATCCGTTGAGCTGTGGGCTTCTACATCATACCAAATTTTGAGCTCAAAATATCAGCGTTTGTTTCGTAGAATAGTAATTGCGGTCAAGTGGTCTAGTGGTATGATTCTCGCTTTGGGTGCGAGAGGTCCCGGTTTTGATCACCGGCTTTGCCCAAGCATTTGATCTCGTTGATTAGCAACCCGTTGAGCTGTAGGCTTCTACATCATAGAAAATTTCGCGCTCAAAATAGTGTTGTTTCTAAAAATATCAATTGCGGACCAAGTGGTCTAGTGGTATGATTCTCGCTTTGGGTGCGAGAAGTCCCGGTTTCGATCACCGGCTTGGCCCAGATTTTTCATCTCGTTGATTAGCAATCCGTTGAGCTGTGGACTTCTACATCATACCAAATTTTGAGCTCAAAATATCAGTGATTGTTTCGACGTACGGTAATTGCGGCCAAGTGGTCTAGTGGTATGATTCTCGCTTTGGGTGCGAGAGGTCCCGGTTTCGATCACCGGCATGCAACTTCTTGATCTCTTTGATTAGCAACCCGTTGAGCTGTGGACTTCTACATCATACGAAATTTCGTGCTCAAAATATCAGTGTTTGTTTCGTACAATACCAGTAATGCGGCCAAGTGGTCTAGTGGTATGATTCTCGCTTCGGGTGCGAGAGGTCCCGGTTTCGATCACCGGCTTGGCCCAGATTTTTGATCTCGTTGATTAGCAATCCGTTGAGCTGTGGACTTCTACATCATACCAAATTTTGAGCTCAAAATATCAGTGATTGTTTCGCACGCCCAGTAAATGCGGCCAAGTGGTGTAGTGGTGTGATTCTCGCTTTGGGTGCGAGAGGTCCCGGTTTTGATCACCGGCTTGGCACAAGTTCTTGATCTCGTTGATTAGCAATCCGTTGAGCTGTGGGCTTCTACATCATACCAAATTTTGAGCTCAAAATATCAGCGTTTGTTTCGTAGAATAGTAATTGCGGTCAAGTGGTCTAGTGGTATGATTCTCGCTTTAGGTGCGAGAGGTCCCGTTTTGATCACCGGCTTTGCCCAAGCATTTGATCTCGTTGATTAGCAACCCGTTGAGCTGTAGACTTCTACATCATACGAAATTTCGTGCTCAAAATATCAGTGTTTGTTTCGTACAATACCAAATGCGGCCAAGTGGTCTAGTGGTATGATTCTCGCTTTGGGTACGAGAGGTCCCGGTTTCGATCACCGGCTTGGCCCAAATTTTTGATCTCGTTGATTAGCAACCCGTTGAGCTGTGGACTTCTACATCATACCAAATTTTGAGCTCAAAATGTCAGTGTTTCTTTAGTAGAATAGTAATTGCGGCCAAGTGGTCTAGTGGTATGATTCTCGCTTTGGGTGCGAGAGGTCCCGGTTTTGATCACCGGCTTGGCACAAGTTCTTGATCTCGTTGATTAGCAATCCGTTGAGCTGTGGCTTCTACATCATACCAAATTTTGAGCTCAAAATATCAGCGTTTGTTTCGTAGAATAGTAATTGCGGTCAAGTGGTCTAGTGGTATGATTCTCGCTTTGGGTGCGAGAGGTCCCGGTTTTGATCACCGGCTTTGCCCAAGCATTTGATCTCGTTGATTAGCAACCCGTTGAGCTGTGGCCTTCTACATCATACCAAATTTTGAGCTCAAAATATCAGTGATTGTTTCGACGTACAGTGAATGCGGCCAAGTGGTCTAGTGGTATGATTTTCGCTTTGGGTGCGAGAGGTCCCGGTTTCGATCACCGGCTTGGCCCGAATTTTTGATCTCGTTGATTAGCAATCCGTTGAGCTGTAGGCTTCTACATCATAAGAAATTTCGCGCTCAAAATATTTGTTTCTAAAAATATCAATTGCGGACCAAGTGGTCTAGTGAGTCAAGTTTCTGAAGAATGCCTTTGATTCTGCAGAAAGCCTTTGATCCAATGGAACCAGAAGCATTCATAGAGGCTCTAGTTAACCAAGGCGTTTATACTCGGCACACAATGATCCTTCGTGAGCTATATAAAGATTTTACGACGAAAATTTCTCCATTCCACAGCAATATTAGCATCGACGTCGGAAGAGGGGTTTGACACGGCGATACATTCGCCAAAATTATTCACTGCCATCGTCCAAAACGTCATGCGACCATTAGAATGGGACGATATGGGATTGAAAATTGACGGTCGACAACTAAACCATCTACGCTTCGCTGATGATATATCCTCACGGCACCAAGTATTAGCCAAGCGGAACAAATGTTGACCCATTTCGACAACTCTTATAGAAAGATTGGCCTTCAACTAAATTTAACGAAAACTATATTCGTGAGGAACGGATGGGTTTTGAATGCCCCATTCACGCTCAACGAGACGAGCATCCAGTTACATGTGTCTGGGTAGTGAAATCAACGTGATGAACAATCTAGCTCCAGAGTTGAGACGGAGGAAACGAGCGGCTTGAGGAACGTTTAAGAGCATCGAGGATGTAGTCAAGAGGACAAAAAACATTCGACTCCGTGTCTACCTTTTCGACTAGACGATTATCCTTCACCTAACGTATGTAGCATAAACATGGTCGCACGTAAGCAGGATAAAAGATCACTTGGCGTTATTGAACGCGCAGTCGAAAAGTCGATGTTAGGAGTATCCCGTATCTCGCAAATGGGAGACAGGATCCGAAGTTCCGACCTATGTCAACGATCGAAGACTAAAGACGCCGTTCTACACGCCAGGATATCGAAAATAAGGTGGGCCGGACACATGGTGCTCTTCAACGACAAACAATGGACGAGAGCCGTTACCGACTGTATTCCTCGGGATATCAAGCGCTCCATAGGAAGAACGCCGACCCGATGGCCCGATTTCTTCACGAAAAGACTAGAAGAAAGGTATGATGTTCAGCAAATTTCTAGAACGAGGAGGACCCACTGGCCTACTCTTGCAGGCGATAAGGAAAAGTGGAAGTGTTGTTGGTGCCCGCTAGAGACACATCAACGGGACGACATGTGATACAGGTGGCAGGTGTACTAACCGAAGGTGTCATACTGGTAAAGGGATTATGGATGGTACAACTAGAAGTATCTACTAATATGGTAGATTTGATAAATTACTTAGAGACTATCTGTGCTGATAAGAAACTCTCAAAAAACAAGCTCTGAAAAATACTGACTTTATTGATGTGGAAATAAAATTTGCTGCTTCCTATCCCAAAAGAAAAATTTATCACTACTTATGAGCCTTATTTTGCTTCCTGCATTGGCTAAACGTGGTTAGCATTTTAAAATGTTCTATTAAGATATTCTGAAGTAGTTATCACTTCATAATGAGTTCATGGTTTGATGTTATACTCAAATGACCTGTGTACTGATATGCGTTCAGGCTCACGCCAAACAACAACACCGTTTCGTTTCACAGTGGAGGACGAAGATTCTGTTTCTTCACCAACAAGAAGAAATCTAGTTGTGTTCGTAAAGAGCTTTCTATAGTTAGGGTAATAATTGACTATTACACTTCCAGAAAAATCTTAACCTACTGTTTGGGGGAAATAGCAAGAAACTCACCGTTGGAGAGGAGACCCGGGAGCTTTTGCCTATTCACGAAGAAGATAGGGACGCTGTCTAGACGCACTGTTAAGACTGTTAGCATCATTCTTAGTTTTTCAATTGTCAGTAAATGTATTTTTGATTACTGTGTGTCTATGCGTAGCACTAAGGAAGACCTTTACTGTATCCATGGTGAAGCATTATTTATAGATTTTCAACTTCTAATATGACAATCAAAAAGAACTAATCTTGTTTTCGAAAACGTTCATGTGATTTCGCTATTATAAAGCAGAGAAGGGTGTTGCTCATTCAAATCATTCACCACTTTATTTCGATCTCATTTGGAGGTGTTATTTCTAGCATTGTCGTTTGAAAAAAACTGATCTATGCTACTAAAAAAAAGGTTTCTTGTTTACTTTTATAAGTAAAGTGTCTGTTTCGCAATTGATTATAGTAGCTACATATGTTTAGCTTCAATATGACACGAATACAACACTATCTCACATGATACTTTACTGACTATCAAACAAAGCCAATTTGTGTTTCGGCTAACTCACCAAGTGACCTCAACGTAGATTCAGTATTGAATGTTGAATTGGCCAGTTCTGTAACTAATGCTAATATTGCCAAAATTAGCACCTCTTACTTTCAACTGCTTTTTGGTTTAGCTTAGGAACTTGTTATTGGACTTCTGTGATATGAAACCAATCCGATCCACGATGGATGGCGAGTCGTCCTGCGAGAACTGAGGCTGTACTGATTCGAAATTTCTACTTTCAATGAACCTTGGCATAATTAGTTGTTATATGAAAATAGAGAAAACTTGCCTTAGCTAGCTGACGCGAGGTTGGTAAATTAGTCGTAGAAGTTCGGCTGACGTTTCGGCCACCCGCCTTCTTCAGAGCCTGGACGTACGTAGTATTGTCTATTTGAATGATTCGGATGGTCTTATTTATATGCTGCCTAGGTCAGGTTAAAACATCAAACGAAGAAGGGCGCGAGATCTCATGTGATGGTGACGCACTCGTCCTTCCGGTTCATTTCGGGATTTTTGGACGTTTATCCAAAATGCCTCAAGAGTGTTGCGCGTGGATGTTTTTGATTCCTGCGCTAGGAATTGTGACAGTCACATCAAAATCCTTATTGTTGTGTTTTTGTGCCCTATGTAAACCTAAAGGTTTGGTTTTGTCTAATTTAGATTTACTATCTAAATGTTCTTTCATGCGGATGAAAAGTGGTCTACCGGTTTCGCCTATATATTCTTCCCCGCATGTTTTACATGTTAGTAACTAAATTATGCCCAATCTCATACAATAGCCCTCTTCTCCGTTAGGGCAGATCACAGTGTTTTGGTGTTGCACAATCGATCATAAAGTCTATTGCAGATCAGCTGATGGCGCAGGGTGGGTTGTGGGATTTCGATAATTACACGAAATTTCCAAGACCGCATCTTTTTAGACACCTTTTAACCGCGCTACTAATTTCGTTTGATATAAATGGCAGTTTGAAGGGAAGTTTATTCAGGTGCGGAGTATTGTTCTTTCGGGACATAAATCCACTTTTTGAGTATTCCCAAGTAGCAAGTGTTTTGTAGCCGTTGGAAATGGCGATTTTCGTGCCAAGTTTTGCCATATATAAGCAAAACGCGTAGACCACTTTTCATCCGCATAAAAGAACATCTGGATAGTAAATCTAAAATAGACAAAACCAAACCTTTAGGTTTATATAGGGCACTTAAACACAACAACAAGGATTTTGATGTGACTGTCACAATCCCAGCTTAGGGATCAAAAACATCTACGCGCAAAACTCTTGAGGCATTTTGGATAAACGCCGGAAAACTCCGAAATGATCTGGAAGCGCGAATGCGTCACCATCACACGAGATCTCGCGCCCTTTCCTCATTTGATGTTTTAACCTGACCTAGGACAGCATATAAATAAGATCGTCCGAATCATTCGAATAGACTAATACTACATACTCCCAGGCTCTGAAGAAGGCGCGTGACCGAAAGGTCAGCCGTACTTCTACGACTAATTAATTAACCTCGCGTCAGCTAATCAAGATAAGTTTTCTCGAGGTTGTACTAGTATGGGCAGCTCAAGATTGAGGAGTTGCACTATTCACACATATGTGATGTTGGATTAAATAAACAAATGGTTGTGGTAAGCTGCCACTATATCTCTTATACACAATTTAACTTTTGTGGCGGAGTGACTGGCCTGCTATGCACTCGTGTTTGCTTGGTTCGTGCCTTGGACAGAGTTTTTTATTAGAGTTGTGGTAGTCGTTCGATAGCCTAGGGAAACGCCGAATGTAGTTCTTGATTTGATTTCTCTAAACGCTTTCTTTTTGTCCTGTACTAAGGAATAGATGCTTTCGCCTTGCTTTTGGATGAGCCAACGCGTTGCTTGAACATTACTGCGAGTTTGATGACAGCATATAGTATAAATGAGTATTTTCTTCTGTCAAGCCGTTCCAAGATAGTGATATTTTTATTGAATATTATCGAGGCAATGCA